CTCTCTCCCTCCAATTAATACCGCCGTCTGTACGTCAACACTACCCTATCCTGTGCTAGTAATTAGCGATTACACAACTGTGCTCATTTTCTATTACGTCTTTTCCAGCCCCACTGTTGCCCTTTTCTTCTATCTCTCTTTTTTGATATGGCCACCATTGATTTATTCCCGCGTCAATAACTTTACAGCCACGTTTGTCTGTTGAGCTTATAGACAGTTTGTATCATGGCGGAGAGGAATCAGGCGCTAATCAATTTTTGGACTGCATGATAAATATTATTAATAATCCCTGAGATGAGGAAATAGATAATATGCTATCTGGTCAAAGGACAGTGGAATAAACATTGTCGTTGTTTGAGATAGAAGGAGCAAACCACACCAGAGCACCCGCCATCCAACCACAACCCGGTCAGTGTCCAGAGGAGTGTTCTGTGGTATTGACCAGACGGTTTACAGTCTCTAATTTTTTGCTTTCTTTTTTGTGGGGAGTTTATTATTATTTTTTAGTTGAGGGTTTTACGGCGCTCGCAACCGAATAAGGTCATATGAGCGCCAAGGGATGGGTGTCAACACAGAAGTCTTTACAGGGAATCAGACTTACCTCACCTCTCTAGCTTCAACAGCACACGGTCTGCTTCGACTATCAAGGCACCCCGGAAATAGCAGGTCACAAGAGTGTGACAAACATACAAAGGAAGAAGAGGAAAATGACAATAGTAAGGATTAGGAAAGAAAAAGCAGCAGTTCCCTGTTGTAGGTCAGGTACAGTTATGAGCGTGACATTGATAAATCAGCCCATTTACAATTCTACTGTGCATGAACGAGAAATGTCCCCCCTTTGTGAATGGCCTAAAGACACTACAGTCAGTGGCACTGCCCCGGGGGTTGTGGGAAGTGTTTTACGACGCTCGCAACTCTGCATAAGGTCATAATATGAGCGCGCGGGACACATTAAGCATGTTCAATTCGGTATGGATTTATTTTGATTCTTGCCCAGACGGAGGCCAAAGCCTACTCTTATCGATTTTAAGACCACCAAGGAATCTTTAACGTGCGCAATTTGCACACTAGACCTCCGAGGCATTTTCACCCTTATCCGAGAAGGCAAAGATGTTCAATCTTATTTACCCCAAGATCAGGGGTGTGGCTGGAAGACAGCAGTAAGAAGGAACCAAAGAGTAGTAATAGAGGCGGCAGAAAGAGTCAGGAGCCCAGAGGAGGGGGGAAAAGAGGGTGGGGACAGAAAGTGGAGACGAAAGCAGACGACAGAACATGATGATTAGAGAGCAGGAGAGGTTTAAAGGAGAATATTCTTTTTTTGAGAGGAACATTTTCCGTCGCTATCGGGTTTTGAACCCTGGAACTATTGAATGAGAGGCGACGGCCGTCACTCTATGCCAGGAGAGCCGCTCAGACTTAGTTTTAGTAAGAGTTATACGGCCCTTGCAGCACAATAAGGTCATATAAGTGCTGAAGATTAGAGGTGCTACAAGAGAGTAACAAACAGAAAAAAGAAGAGGAGGAGAGATCAGGACGATAGATGTGAGATAGGAAAGGAGGAGAGATGAGGGCGATAGATGTTTGATAGGAAAGAAGGAGGAGAGATAAGGGCGATAAATGTTTGATAGGAAAGAAGTGGCAAACCACAGCAGAGCACCCGCCAGCCTCCCACGCCCTCAGTCTGTGAATGTTGAATGTGTCGCTATGATGAGTCACAGACGTCTGCTCTTACTCACCCCGTGTCCCTGGTCACTGATCCTGTCTGTCTGTCTGTCTGTCTGTCTCTGTCTGTCTGTCTGTCTGTCTGTCTGTCTGTCTGTCTGTCTGTCTGTCTGTCT